AATTTATTGTGTAGGTAATTACTTTTTGTATTATTCAATTTGATGCTTGTCTATTAAACAACCGCTTGTATTCTATATGATAGAACCTCCTGCAACTGTGTTTAAGGGAACCCCAAAACATTAGCAATACAAACCTGTATTCTTAATGATTTAGTGTCCCCAGGTATAATCCACCCCACCATTTGCAATAAAAATTAAGAAAATTAAAGTTTTACTCCCTTCTCCCAAGGCGTTGCTCACCTTGACGCCTACCCCAACGTCATGGAGGAGGCATTACCAACTCCGTGATGATACAACTCAATGCTCTTCATAGAGGAGGATTGGGGACATGATGATCTAAGCGTCCCAATAGAGGGCTTCCATGTCACGTGACTGAGCCACTAGAGGCTAAAAAACTGCAATGTTTTACATTGCATGGATACAAGTGACAAGGTCACTGCATCCAGAATGTTTCTTTTAACAGATATTCCTAGACCTACCTGGCTGGCTTGTTGCTTACTGCCCTCCTTCAATCGACCCCTCTTTCACGCCCCAAACCCAGTCAACCTTTAAATCCTGTCACTTCCATCTTAAAAACACAGCTCGTATCTGCACCTTCATAACACCTGATGCAATCAAAATGCCAGTCAATGCCAACTTGACTACAACACCTCACTTCTAACAGGTCTCACTCAAGCTCACATCAACCATTACAATCCATAATAAATGTTGTGGCCAGACTCACCAACTTAACCATACACTATTCACAAATCTCACCAATTTGCAGTGGTGCATCTTGGATTTGTGATGCCCTAAGTACGACTAAATTCAGGCACCTCTCTAATCTAAATTTGCACCACCACTTTGTGTCAAGGCCACTTATTTGACTGACAGATGTATGCCCTCATTGACACATGCACTGACATACACTCACTGACAGATACACAGTCATTAGCACACACACTGTTTAAACAATCCACACTTTCACTGACAGACACACACACTGACACACCCATTCACTGACAGGCACACACTCTCTGATACACACTCACTGAAAGACCCACACTGACACAAACATCCTCACTGATTTGACACACTCTGACAGGCACACACATTCATTCACTCACAGACACACACTGCCAGCTACACACACACTGACATACACACACTCCCTGACAGACATACACACACTCCCTGACAGACACACACTCACTGACAGACACACACACGCTGACAGACACACGCAGTGACAGAGACAGACATATTCACTGACAGACACATACACACTAACTGACAGACACAGACATACTCACTAAAAGATACACACATACACTGACAGACACAGACACACTCACTGACAGACACACGCACTCACTGACAGACAAACAAACTCACTGACAGACAGACACAGTGACAGGGTTGCTGTGCTCTTTGCTGGAGCTGAGGCTGCTGGACGGGTGGACAGACTCCTGGGGCTGCTGGCTTCTGCAGGCTCGGCTGGTTGGGTGGGTGGGTCAGGCGCTTAATAGATGTGGCGAGGGAACTGAGCTCTTCCTGCTTTGCTCCCTCACGCACCATCGGGGCCGGAATGTCGTCATAATCCGGCTCCTGGCATCAAAGAGGGAGGGAGCAGGAAGAGCTCAGAGGACTGTGCTCCCTCGCCGCTTGTCTATACTACGAGCCAGTCGGCCACCTCTTGCTTCCCAGCAGGACATAAGGCAAACAAAGCACTTGCCTGGGCACTTAGGGCGGCGTTTTTTGCCGTCCCCTGAAAGTGCCGCTCTAGGCTTTAGGCTGCTTTGTCAGTCTTTACACTGACTTCCTGTATGTTCCCCTATTCAATTCTCAAGCCCTCACTTAACGAGTATTTCACAACAGAGGCCTAACTTATGTATTCTCTATAATAAATGGGTAAGTCCCATCCTGACCTTTATGCTTTACCAAAGACTTATGTGTTCTGTCTTTATGACTTCTCTAGGGCTGAGCTGTATTTTTGGAATTAACTTCCCTTGTCAGTAAGATTTTCCCACAATTTTCAATTGTTTAAGAAAGCCATAAAACACACACCTTAAGGAAGACCTACCAACTAGCCAAGTAACCCCTGACACGTTAGAGTTATTTGCCCTGCTCTGTGCATATCTCTGTATTGTAATCAGCTTTGTCTGTGGTATGTTTATCTCTGTAGTGTATCCAGCTCTTTGTATTTTATGGATATCTCTGTATTATGCTTAGTTCTGTGTTTTGTATGGGTATCTCCATACTGTACCGGGTTTTTGTATTGTATAGGTATTTCTATATTGTACTCAGCTCTGTGTATTGTACCTGGCTTTGAGTATTGTATGCATATCTCTATATTACCCCGATCTCTGAGTGTTGTGTGGGTATCTCTATATGGGTCTATGTATTGTATGGCGACTGTCACCAGGTATGGAATCAGGATTAAACCCCTTAAGGACACGACTTCTGGAATAAAAGGGAATCATGACGCAATATTTCCGTCATGTGTCCTTAAGGGGTTAAAGCAGTGGTCTTCAATCACTGGTCCGCGGACCGACGCAGGTCCGCAAGAATTTATTGCCGGTCCGCGAAAGTTTTCACCCGACAATAACGTTGGCTGAAAGCTTTTGCGGACTGGCAATAAATTACAGCATAATATTTCCCCGGTGCTATCATCTTGTGATCAGAGCACCGGGAACCGTGCCTCCCTCTCCCCTGCCGGCTCTGCAGGACCGGAGGGGAGGTCAGAGAGTGTAACCCTGACAGCCAGCAGGGAGGTGCTCTTCCCTACAGCTCTTGCGAGCTCGGAGCGCCGCTGCCAGTGATGTATATTCAGCAAAGCAAACAAGGCACTTGCCTTGGGCGGCACTTTCCAGGGGGCGGCAAAAAACGTAAGGGGGGGATGACAAGCTGCTATCCTCAGTCTGGTGACCTTTATATTTGTTCCCAATTAAAGCTTGAATTGTGGAACAGGGTGAGACAGAGAGAAACTGCAGCAGGATGAGGAGTCTCTCCTAGAAAGCAAAAGCTAGCATGAAAAGCAGTTCAGTAACTACTGCACACCCCTCCAGATCTCCAGCTAGTGGAGCCTTCCAGCTCCTCTCCGACATCGGCTTGATAGCTGACACGCCCCCTGAGAGACCACGCCCCCTGACAGACCATGTGGTAGCTCTCTATGGTAGTCTCAACTCTTGGGTATATATATATATATATATATATCCTATATGGCAATCTATAAATGTAAACTGATCACGGCAAAGCTCCAAATCTCGCGAGAGTGAACTTTAGCAGCTCCTGAGGCTGCTAGAGTCCACTCTCACCATCTAGACCACCAGGGCTTCCCCACCGGACCCCCAGGGATTGCAGGAAATGTCCTACCTCCCAGGCAAAGATAAGCAGGGAGGGAGATATCAATATTATTATTATTATTTTTTAATTAACAATAATTTTATTACATTATATGGAGGGTAGATATTATTAATATACCCTCCAACCCCACAATCTCACCGATACACACACACACAGCCCCCCATACACACACACACTGCCCCCATACACACACACACATAAACTGCACCCCTCACAAACACACAGTGCCCCTTACACATACAATTGGTTTTTATTTCTGGCTTATACCGGTCCGAGAAATATGTTTCCTCTTTTCGCTGGCCCTAAAAGGTTGCAGAACACTGATTTAAAGCACAAGAAAATGGCACTTGAACACATTTTACCAACAACCTGTTCTTCATTTTATCTTCATTCGCCCTTACTGTACTCACAAATTGTTTACTGATCCAATATTGTAGGTAAATGAAAAAATGAATAGATGATCCAAAACAAATTCTACAACTATGCAATAATCTCATACCTACTAACATTTCCAATGGAAAAAGAGGGACACTTTAATTTTAGGGGTGTGAGTAGGATTGTGTTGAGGTGCGGGGCTAGTCTGAGAAATATTAGGTTACAAACTACTAACACATTTATGCAACAAAAATGAAATTTAGAACAAAAACAATGTGTCACATTTACACAGACTGATTTATAAACACTTTTTTGTTTGTATATTAAAGACACATTACTGGGAGTATTGTTGTGGAGCTCTGCTGTACACTCAGACACATTACTGGGAATATTATTGCTGTGAAGCCTGTTATACACTCAGACCCATTACTGGGAATATTATTGCTGTGGAGCTCTGTTATGCACTCAGACACATTACTGGGAATATTATTGCTGTGGAGCTCTGTTATACACTCAGACACATTACTGGGAGTATTATTGCTGTGGAGCTCCGTTATACACTCAGACACATTACTGGGAGTATTATTGCTGTGGAGCTCTGTTATACATTCAGACACATTACTGGGAGTATTATTGCTGTGGAGCTCTGTTATACACTGAGACACACCAACAATAGGGAGCTCTCTGTTATACACTCAGACACAATACTGGGAGTATTATTGCTGTGGAGCTCTGTTATACACTCAGACACATTACTGGGAGTATTATTGCTGTGGAGCTCTGTTATACACTGAGACACACCAACAATAGGGAGCTCCTAGAAAAGAGGACATTAAGACAGAAAGGAGGGACAGGGGGGTTTGCTCCCAAAATTGGAACTGTCCCTCCTAAACAGGGTCACTTGGGAGGCATGTAATATGTTTGGCAATTTTAGCCCAAATGTATCCATTCAGAGTCTGAATTGTCAGGAATGCATTGTGAATTTCACATTTGAAGTCAAAATTGCCACTAAAGTCTTTTTTAATTTTTTTTTTTTTTATATCTTTAGTTATTTTGCGCAAAAAAAAAAAATGTAATTTCCTGGCAATTCACATTTTAGTGAATAACTTTTTTTTTAATGTGATTTAAAAAGTCCCATTTATGAATTCCCTGCATCCCAGATTTAGAGAATTGGGTTTCCTTCCACCACCAAGATGGCGCGTGCGTGCCGCCGGCGCGCACAGCGTAAGGAGCCGCTCTATCGCCGCATTGCCAGATGTCTATGGTGACGCCGCCGCTCGGCCAGACAAACCCTGCCATTTCATCAGTAAACATCCTGCGGATTTGAACGCGCGGTTTGGGCGGCAGGAAGAGGCGCGGCCGCCATTTTGTTTGTTTGAGTGGCTCTGGCCGCCTCGGAGAGCAGGCAGGAGGGAGGCCAGCGGCGGGGGCGCCCTGACGAGGGACCGACAGACGGTGCCAGCGCTCGGCGGTGAGTGTGCGGGGGGGCTGCGGGCTCGGGGCTGCGGGCCGGGGAGTCAGACTGCGCCGGGCGGGTAATCCAACCTCCGGGAGAGGACGGGCTAATATGGCGGGCCCCACGGAACAGCTGGCGGAGCAGGCCGCACTCCGTCACCGAGCTGGAGTCTGATCCCCGGCCGGGCTGTGTGCAGGGCAGAGCGGGGGGAGCTCCCGGAGCCGGTAGGTGTGCCGGGCAGAGCTATCCCGGGAGAAACTACCCCAGCCGGGGCTATCCCGGGAGGAACTGGCCCAGCCGGGGCTATCCCGGGAGAAACTGGCCCAGCCGGGGCTATCCCGGGAGAAACTGGCCCAGCCGGGGCTATCCCGGGAGAAACTGGCCCAGCCGGGGCTATCCCGGGAGGAACTACCCCAGCCAGGGCTATCCCGGGAGAAACTACCCCAGCCAGGGCTATCCCGGGAGAAACTACCCCAGCCAGGGCTATCCCGGGAGAAACTGCCCCAGCCGGGGCTATCCCGGGAGAAACTGGCCCAGCCGGGGCTATCCCGGGAGAAACTGGCCCAGCCGGGGCTATCCCGGGAGAAACTGGCCCAGCCGGGGCTATCCCGGGAGAAACTGGCCCAGCCGGGGCTATCCCGGGAGAAACTGGCCCAGCCGGGGCTATCCCGGGAGAAACTGCCCCAGCCGGGGCTATCCAAACCCCCCCCCCCGAGAAACTACCTCAATGATAGGTCTACCCTGGTGAAACTACCCCATCTCCCTTTTCTCAATGGTTACCCCTGGCAATACTATATACACTGAGAGGTTTTCTCCTGGTAAATGGCATTGTCCTCAGAGGGCAGGTGGTATGTGACTTTGCCCGGGCATGTGCTGAAAGTTGAGGATAGTCCAGTGACCAGCTAGAATTTGGCTCTAGCATGAGGCTTCTCTGACACACTGCTGCTTTCCCACTCACAAAAACTGCTAACAAACTATAACCGCCTTATAGGTGCAGATTCAACATATATTACTGGAATATTTAGAATGTTATACTATACTTTTCCATAAGTTCTATTGTTTTGGACTTTTTAAAACCCGTTTCCTGACAGTTTAAAATGCTGTAAATAAATGTGCAAGTAAATGCGAAGATATTTTTAACCAAAAGAGTAAATAAATAACCAGACTAACCATTAATGCACCAATTTTAAATGATACTAGACGTACTCCTGTGTTGCTTAAGTTAAGATTCATGATACATGTTTATTGATGTATCCTATAGTCTATTGCTTCTTGTTTTAAATAGTTTGGTATGTTGTGGATTTACCTGTTGGTTTTATGTCAGCTGCAATTTTGTGTTTTAGGACTGCTTTGACTTTTATAAAGTGAATATTTATATTTTTGTATGTGTCTTTTAAATGTATTTTATATAATTACGCTAGGTTTTCTCAATGCAATTGTCCCAATTATTCAACCATGTTGGTTGTAAACATTTGATACAAAATGTACTATTACAAATGTGTATCTTGGTCTTTACTTGATTTGTTCTGTCCTTTAATTTTTAAGCCATCTTTTGTACTGAGTACTTTGTACCATCCAAACATCTGTATAATTATTGGCTCAAGTATGAACATTTTATGAAAGCTCTGTCTCTGCTTAATACACCCACCAATCCAGTAACTGGAATTCTAAATGCAATTCTCATTTAGGGCAATTATGTTTTTGTGGTGCTGTTTCAGGATGCTAAACTATTTTTTAGACTGGCTCACAGTAAGTAGAAATGTAGTCCAGTCCGTATTGCCAGAGGTAACTTACACTTGCTGTAAATGCAAAATTCTTGCATAAACCTTATGTTTAAGTGTTTACAGATGAAAATGAAGGAAAGGGGGCATCAGTTAGGAAAATGACAAATTAGTCTTGTTATATGTGAGTTTACAGAAGAAGAGATTCTATTTCAACTGTCAAAAGTAAAGACAAATACGTCAATGGGGGCTGATGGAACACCCAAAATTATTAAAAGAGCTTAGTGGTGTACTAGCAAAACCATTAAAGGATCACCATAGTGTCAGGAAAACAAGGCTGTTTTCCTGACACTATATTGCCCTGAGGGTGCCCCCACCCTCAGTGTCCCCCTCCCGTGGCGCTGAAGGGGTTAAAACCCCTTCAGCAGTTTGCCTTATTCCAGCGCCGGGCTCCCTCAGCGCTGGTGACCTCTCCTCCGCCGTCAGCGGAGCTGAATGTGCATGCGTGGCAAATGCCGCACGCGCATTCAAAGTGTCCATAGGAAATCATTTTTAAATGCTTTCCTATGGATGCTCTGTGCGATGGATGCATAATATGCCTCCAGCGTCACAGATGCACCTTTAGTGGCTGTCCGGAAGAGCCCCCAAATGTAAACATAGCAGTTTCTCTGAAACTGCTATGTTTGCATCTGTAGGGTTAAAACCTGAGGGACCTGGCACCCAGACCACTTCATTGAGCTGAAGTGGTCTTGGTGACTATAGTGTCCTTTTAACAGATTTATTTAACCAATCATTGTTAACAGGAGTAGCCCCAGGAGATTGGAAGTTAGTGAATGTTGTGCCCATTCACAAGAAAGGTAGTAGGGAGGAGTCGAAAGTAATGGAAACCAGACTATCATTTATATAGCGCCAACAGATTCCGTAGCGCTATACAATATTATAAGAGGGGGGATTTAACTATAAATAGGACTATTACAAGAAAACTTACAGGAACGATGGGTTGAAGAGGACCCTGCTCAAACGAGCTTGCAGTCTATAAAAAGGATTGTTGAACATCTAAAATCACATGGATTTCAAGATCAGAGACAACATGGGTTTACTTCAGGGAGATCATGCCAAACTAATCTTATTGATTTTTTTTTTATTGGGTAGCTAAAAATTATAGATCAGGGAGGTGCAGTAGACACCTAGATTTCAGTAAGGGTTTTGACACCCTTGCACATAGAAGGCTTATCAGTAAACTGCAAACTTTAATTTTGGATTCCAATATTGTTAAATGGGTAAGGCAGTGGCTGAGTGACAGGCAACATATGGTTGTAGTCAATGGAGTATATTTGAAGCATGGTCTTGTCACCAGTGGGGTACCTCAGGGATCTGTACTTGGACCCATTCTCTTTAATATTTTTATTAGTGATATTTCAGAAGGTCTTGATGGTATGGTATGTCTTTTTGCTTATTATACTGAGATATGTAATCGCGTTGATGTTCCAGGAGAAATAAGCCAAATGGCAAATGATTTAGGTAAACTAGAAAAATGGTCAGAGTTGTGGCAGCTGACACTTAATGTGGATAAGTGCAAGATAATGCATTTTGGACGTATAAACCCAAGGGCAGAGTATAGAATATTTGATACAGTCCTAACCTCAACATCTGAGGAAAGGGATTATGGGGTGATTATTTCTGATGACTTAAAGGTAGGCAGACAGTGTAATAGAGCAGCAGGAAATGCTAGCAGGATGCTTGGTTGTATAGGGAGAGGTATTTGCAGTAGAAAGAGGGAAGTGCTCATGCCATTGTACAGAACACTGGTGAGACCTCACTTGGAGTATTGTATGCAGTACTGGAGACCGTATCTCCAGAAGGATATTGATACTTTAGAGCAGGGTTAGTCAACCTTTTAATACCTACCGCCACTCTTGTATCTTTGTTGATGGTAAAATGTCCTTACCGCCCACCAGTGCCGCAGTAACAAATTTTAGAAAGGAGGGTTTTAAAAAAGAAGAAAAAAAATTTTTTTTTTACTTAAATGTATCTTTTTTTTCCTTTTCTTTCTATGTGTGTCTGTGAGGTGCTGCATGTGTGTTTTGTGTGTGTGTGTGGGGGGGGGGCAGTGTGTGACTGGGGTGCAGTGTGAGTGAGGGGGCTATCTTAATGTCTCCCCCTCCCTTCTTCTTACCTTTTGCCAGGGTATATATAATGCTGCAAGCCCTGGTGGTCCAGTGGTGGCATGTTCGCTTTAGCCTGCAGCTACTCTGGCTGCAGGCTGACTCTCCTGTGAGCACAGCACTGTATCGGTGTGTTGCCATGGTAACGTGCGACAATGCTTTGACCAGTCTGCTCGCTGGAGGAACACAGAGCCTTTCCCTCCCTCTGCTGGAACCAAGTGCCAGCGGGCCGATTAGGGAGTTCTTTGATCTCCTCACCAGCCCGAGAGGGCTTACAGCAAGGATGGCTCTGCATGAGCCGGCAGGGGAGATTAAAGGATTTCCCGTCAGCCCTGGCCCACGTTTTCTACAGAACCCACCACCGCCCACCTGAAATCCCAAACCGCCCACTAGGGGTGGTAGGGACCAGGTTGAATACCCCTGCTTTAGTAAGAGTTCAGACAAGGGCTACTAAACTGGTTCATAGATTGCAGGATAAAACTTACAAGGAAAGGTTAAAGGAACTTAACATGTATAGCTTGGAGGAAAGACGAGACAGGGGGGATATGATAGAAACATTTAAATACATAAAGGGAATCAACACCATAAAGGAGGAGACTATATTTAAAATAAACTACCACAACAAGAGGACAGTCTTAAATTAGAGAGGCGAAGGTTTAAAAATATCTGGAAGTATTAATTTTACTGTGAGGGTAGTGGATGCATGGAATAGCCTTCCAAATGAAGTGGTAGAGGTTAACACAGTAAAGGAGTTCAAGCATGGGTGGGATAGACATAAGGCTATCCTAGCTATAAGATGGGGCCAGGGACCTAATGAAAGTATTTAGAAAATCGGGCAGACTAGATGGGCTGAATGGTTCTTATCTGCCGTCACATTCTATAAAGGTTTTTTTTTTTTTTTTTGACTGCAATATAAACTTTTCAACTCTCAATTAGTGTGCATGTATGAATGGCAATAATTTTACTTTTGAAGAAATGAATGCTTGCACATTATATGCGCTTGATGTATTCAAATGTCTTTATTTTTCTGTTTATATGGCTACACGGGTACCACCATTAAACTGTAAAATATCAGTAATGTCCTTATGAAATGCTAAAACACATTTTTACATTTTGAAATATACAAAAGCTAGTTCTTTCTCTTGAAAGTAAACAATTCAGTGCTAGTATAGGCACCAAAATGTTAGCTTTGAGGCAATTTTGATTTATGCATTATGCTCCTGCAGTCTCACTGCTCAATTCTCTGCCATTTAGGAGTTAAACTGTCATGACCACTTCAGTAATTTGAAGTGGAAATAATGGAAACAGTATGTATGTGCAGTGCTTCTGCTTGAAACACTGCACATACTGGGAGATTGTGCTGGAGGCTGCACCTACAGCACACCTGACATTGACAGCACAGAACTTGATGTCAATTCTATGCAACGTTTAAGTCTGTCGTCACAGTGCACTTGCAACAGATGTTAATTTTTTTTATAGAAACCTCCCCAGAGCATCTGTATGTGCTCTAACCTGGCGAAAAGATCCAACTACAGTCTTCTCTGTGGAAAGCCTGTCATTGGACCTTGTGAGGCCACTGTGACATAGGAGGCGTCGTGAAAAAGCTGGGAGCTACGCTCGACACTTGGTCCGAGGTGAATGCTTATTTTGCAGCTTTTACTGAAAATCTGGTGGAAGGACACCTTTTCTATATTAAAATGGAAAAGCTGCCTTAACCCTGTAATCCATGCAGCTTTAGCTACACCTCTCCTGCCTGTGACACTCATTTTTTATGGATGTTAACTTACTTTAGATGTTTTTAATCTACTCTTTTGTAAATTGCGCTTTAGTCACACACAGGAGGGTCATATCTACATAGGCTACTAAAAGTGCCGGAGATTCACATTTCTAAATTAAACAGACTGTGCTATAAAGGGAGTTATACAATATCTATCTTTACAGGAACTGTTTAGGAAGGGTGTGCAAGTCACATGCAGGGAGGTGTGGCTAGGCTGCATAAACAAGGTGATTTACTCCTAAATGGTAGGGAATTCTGCAGGTGCATGATTTATTCACTATACATGCTTCACTAAGCTAAAATTGTTTTAATATCTATAGTAGCCCTTGAAATTGCTTGAATGAGGACTTAAAGGGATCCTATACAAACTCGCTTTCCTGGCACCATAGGCTCTTGGAGTCCCCCTCCTCCCAATTACCTTAATCCAGGGCCGGGATCCCTCGGTGCTGGTGACTTATCCTCCCCTGCCGGCGTCCGTTCCCATGTGCAGCCAGAGACGCATGCGCATTCAAACCCGCCCGTAGGAAACCCTTACTCTATGGGGATCTTATTTGAAGCTGGACTCCTGAGTACGTTCAGCGTAAAATAAGTAAGATTTTCTCAGTGTAAATTGCAGAAGCACCTCTAGTGGCTGTCAGGGAGATAGCTGCTAGAGGCTGGACTAACCCTGCAGTGTTTTCCACTGCACGGTTAAAACTAGGGGGACCTGGCACCCAGGCCACTTAATTGAGCTGAAATGGTCTGGGTGCCTGTAGTGGTCCTCTAAATAACAAATAGTGCAGGGGTTGCCTTTGTTTGTCTAATTAGGTAGACGTGTTTATTTAGTTATCTAAACTGTTTTATTATGCATACAACATAGTTTTACATATGTTTTTTGTGATTCACACATTGTGAACCTCCACAGACAGTGCCAGTTCCATGCAATCGTTGCTGGTGACAGCTCGGGATTGACTCTTCTAGATGGCAGTAACTCTGCCCTGTGTCAGGTGTAGGAAAAATACATGTACATTTACAAATTTGTCTCCGTGTATTTTTCGACTGAGTTGGAATTTCCCAGAAATCCCACAAGTCAATATGTGTATTTCATAAAGATTTTTACTTTATGAAATACTCATTTTGCAGACGGAAGGTGACCGTGCCCTTTAAAGATGGAGCTGGTCTCTAATTGCATCACCATCTTTTCTGTGGCAACTTTGTGATGCAACTTCACTGGAGCCGTACTTGTTTTCATAGGGATATATAGTATAAAACAGAGCAGGTAGTTTTTTTCAGTTGCTATTCTTTGGATTGATGGCTAAAAGGTACATTTAAATACATGGTTTGTGCCTATATTTAAAAAAAAAAAAAAAAAAACAGTTACCCAACTATTTGTGTGCTCTATTGATGTTGAAGACACTTGGTGATGCAGTTTATTAGTCCAATGTCCACTTGACCAAACTTGTGTGTGTGTATTTATAATTTTCTTTTTATATGTAATTAAAGGACCACCCAGCTTAATGAGGTGGTCTGGGTGCCTGGTCCATCTAGGGTTAACCCTTTTTTCTATAAACATATGTTATGTTAGGGTTAATCCAGCCTCTAGTGGCCGTCTCTTGACAGCCGCTAGAGGCGCTTGCGTGCTTCTCACTGTGATTTTCACAGTGAGAAGACACCAGCGTCCCTAGGAAAGCATTGTAAATGCTTTCTTATGAGACTGGTTGAATGCGCGCGCAGCTCTTGCCGCGCATGCGCATTCAGCCACAGAGGAGGAGAGCTCCCCGCCCGGCGCTGGAGAAAGAGGTAAGTTTAACCCGTTCCTCTACATCCAGCCTGGCGGGAGGGGGACCCTGAGGGTGGGGGCATCCTCAGGGCACTATAGTGCCAGGAAAACGAGTATGTTTTCCTGGCACTAAAGTGGTACTTTAAGTTGTCTTTTCACAAATTTCTATCGTTATGTCACTTATATTGCATCCATGCTTTAAATTAAAACTTTACAAATCATTTTTCTATTGCTGTGTAACTTCAGAAAATAGTTTTGGGGTTATTTTTTTCCTTACTGATTGTTTTTCAGCAGGCTCACCTCCTTCCCAACTGATCCATCCTTTGGGCATCATCCTTCTCTTAGGTCTAGCTCAGTTGGGGAAGCATTTAATTACTTCCCTGCGCCTAGCACAGCCTTGATGACTGATGCAGGGCCTGAGAACACCCCAAAGTCTTCTCTTGCAGACAGACTTTTGTATATAGTTTGTGCCTGCAGTGTTTCTGCCAGAAAGTAGGGGGTGTTGATTTTAGTGCTCTTTTATAGAGAAATTTGGCTAGCACAACATGTAGTTAAAGGGACACTATAGTCACCTGAACAACTTTAGCTTAATGAAGAAGTTTTGGTGTATAGAACATGCCCTTGCAGCCTTACTGCTCAATCCTCTGCCATTTAGGGTTAAATCCCTTTGTTTATGAACCCTAGTCACACCTCCCTGCATGTGACTTGTACAGCCTTCCATAAACACTTCCTGTAAAGAGAGCCCTATTTAGGCTTTCTTTATTGCAAGTTCTGTTTAATTAAGATTTTCTTATCCCCTGCTATGTTAATAGCTTGCTAGATCCTGCAAGAGCCTCCTGTATGTGATTAAAGTCCAATTTAGAGATTGAGATACAATTATTTAAGGTAAATTACATCTATTTGAAAGTGAAACCAGTTTTTTTTTTTCATGCAGGCTCTGTCAGTCATAGCTGGGGAGGGCTAGGGCTGCATAAACAGAAACAAAGTGATTTAACTCCTAAATGACAGTGAATTGAGCAGTGAAATTGCAGGGGAATGATCTATACACTAAAACTGCTTTATTTAGCTAAAGTAATTTAGGTGACTATAGTGTTCCTTTAAAATCAGAAAAGGAATTCATTGCTGCTTAGTAAAAAGTGGTACGACAGACACACTTTACAGAGGAACTGTCATTTCTCTGGTAGGAACAGTTCCTGAGTCCCAGTAAAACATTGTTAACTGGGGTGAATAAAGTAGATGCGAAAGTGTATTTAAAAAGATACTTCTGAATTGGGGTGACTTTGCCACTCTATGATGCTTGGGGTACACTCATAAGCGCTAGGACCTCTAAAAGAAATTCAGTTTGTGTGCTCAATTTATTTTATATAGCGGTGCAATACACCTGTGAGCCACCCCAACAGGGCAAGGTTAACTAATATACTTAAATTGGGGTTCTTTGTAAACTATAAAATAAGCAATAGCTAACTTAGCTGTGCTAAAATGGTGAATTGACTGTTCCTCTGTAAAATAGATTCTTAATTTAAAACTCTCTAAGCACCATAACCACGACAGCCCACTAGCGGATGTGGGCTCTTGGTGGGACCCAGTGTTGTATGACTATGGTGGTGCTGCTTGTATTGAAGTTGGTGTAAAATTTATCACATAAACTGTAGGTGGTACTGATCATTTACACCTGAGAACAATGATTTGAAAATACCTGTTGGATTATCCTTTGTTTCTCAGAGCACCATAACAATCTTTGGAATTAAGTTATGATGCCTGGAGATCCCTGGCACCAGTTAACCATCTGGGGCTAAACTTGTATTGAACTGTTTAACACCAAAGTGTTGAATCCAGCACTCTTTCTAGTTCTGCGCATATCCTTCTGAATTCACAAAAAAAGAAATGAACATATATTTTCTTAGCTACTTATGGGCAGAGTGTCAGCAGTGCTTCTTTCCAAAGATTGTAGATTCAAAACTCAGACAGAAGTAGAAGGTGGGCAGAGCTAAATGGTACTGGATTCAACACTTTATTAAAGGACACATTGTTTGCTAACAGTTTAACCCCTGATGGTTAGGTGGTACCCGGGATCTCCTGTCACTATAACTTCAGTCTGATAAAGTTATGGTGCCCGGGGGGTTATTTTTAAATGAAGAAAAAAGTTACTGATGATTTGATCTACATAAGGAGAACACTTTCTAACATTGTTCCTTTAAGGAGGGGGGGGCAATATCTTCAGGTGGCTATATTCCATAAATGTGCAATCTGAAAACCATAATGGCTTCATCACAGTGAAGTGGTTATGGTATAATTAGGTCTAAGCATTGTCTTACATAAACAAATTTAACCGTTACTGTCTTTTGCATTTACTATTCTTTTGTGTTGCTTTACTTGATCAGTTGGGTGAATGAGGGGATACATTGCTTAAAAGAAGGTACTTGAGTTGGTTTGTGTCTGCACTTGCATCCTTTTACATTCATTATCTGAGTGAGAGAATTGGAGTACAGATAGGAAATATTCTGTGTTGTGGTTAGAATGCTATCACATGCAGAACTACAAGGGATGGTGTGGATATCTGATTAAAAATCTTGATGATTGCAACAAGCATGATTGTGCTCGCTCAGATATACTTTGTTTTTTAAGGGGACTTAATAATTATTTTCATTACAGTTCCCTGTTTAGTGAGTAAACAAATACATGGTCTTTGTCCAGACAAAATGCTCCAAGCGCCATCACTACTTTAAAGGACAACTATAGGCACCCAGACCACTTCAGCTCAATCAAGTGGTCTGGGTGCCAGGTCCATATAGGGTTAACCCTGCAGCTGTAAACAGCAGTTTCAGAGAAACTGTTTACACTGGGTTAATCCAGCCTCTAGTGGCTGTCTCACTGACCCCGAATCACCGCTATCGCGGGGTTAATGGTGCGTCTGCCTCTGTATTAGAGGCAGACCGGGAGCACCCGATAGTGCTGCCAGAGCGAGCACATGTGCTTAGTATACTTACCTTCCGCCTCCCTGCACTTCCTGGTTCTGTGTGAAGTGCAGGGAGCCAGAACAGTGCTGATCCTGCCCCCTGAAAAAAAGAAAAAATAGTTTAAAATCCCACCCCACCTTACTCATTTTAATTAAAAATTAACCCCTTCCCTGCCAATTGATCACTGACTACAGTGATCAATTGGCAGGGATTACATTTTACGGTCATTTTATTTTAACCCCTGAGGGTTAAATTTTTTTATTTTTTTTTTAACCCTCAGGTTAAAATTAGATATTTAGCTAGCTGTGGTGGGTGGCAGTTAGTGGGGAATTGGGGGATTTGGTGTTAGGCTAACTAGGGGTTAACGTTAAGTCTTAAAATAAACTTTAAAAAGTTAAAACTTAAGCTTAAAAAAACACTCCCCTTTACTCAGTCCAAATAAAAATTAATCCCTTCCCTGCCAGTCGATCACTGCCTACAATGATCAAAATACAGTTAACCGTATTATACTGTGATCTAATTTATTTTTTAACCCCTGAGGATTAACTTTTTTATTTTTTAACCCTCAGGGGTTCAATTTATTTAATTAATTTAAATATTTTATAATTATATATTTTGTTAGCTGGGGTGGGTGGGAGTTATGGGAAAATGGGGAATTTACTGTTAGTGCTGCTTACTGCTAGTTAGGGGTTAACGGTAAAAAAAAGCTTAGAAAAATGTTAAATCTGTATAAAAAAAAGTTTTAGGAAAGTTAAAAAAAATTAATAAGCAAAACAAAAGTTTAAAAACTAGTTTTTAAAAGTAAAAAAGTTTAAAAAAAAAAAAACATTTTAAAAACGCTCATTACCACTACACCTGGAACAAACTAGAGAAAAAAATTATCCAACGCTAAGGTTCAAAATATGCCTTTTGAATTACCTTTTGTATTCTTTAATAAATAGTATGTGTTTGTGGGGAAGTTTCAATAACCAACAATCTAAACTACTCCAAATTGGAATATGGATACAGCGTAAAACTTCAAAGTTAGAAAAAAAAAAACTGGCTGCGTCTCAAATGCGCCCCTTCAACATCCACATATACCTGGCAAAGGTACATACGGGGGTATTGCTGTACTCGGGCAACATATGAAGTATTATACAGTCGTAGCACACATAAGGTTTGCAAAATATACTGTGCAAACTCACTTTGTGTGTCAAAAAGGCAGAAAAACGCTTATTACCACTACACTTGGTACAAGCTAGCGGAAAAATTATCCCACACTAAGGTTCAAAATATACCTTTTGAAATACCCTGGGGTGTCTACTTTAAGAAATGGTAGGCCTTTGTGGGGTAGTTTGAATTTAAGCCCTGCTAAGATGCTTGGAAATTGCACATAGGCCCGGCGTCAAAAATCAAAGTTCGGTAAAAACGGATATGGATTGGTCTCCTATATGGCACTGTAGCTTCACAAAATAGTGCCAAAGACATTCATTGGGGGTGTCTTTTTACTCAGAAGACTCGAGCATAATCTGGGGGGGTTGAACTTAGTGGCACATGTGAAATATACAAAATGCCCAGCAAAAATGCAATCCATATGTAAAAAAACGCACAAAATTCTTTCACATACTTTGGCATATATTGGTGAAAAAATGGGGGCATGTTAAGGCACAATATGCACCTTATGAGATACCCTGGAGTGTCTACTTTTACAAATGGTAGGCCTTTGTGGGCTTTTTTGAACAGTCAAACTGTTATAATACCCCAAATGGAAGCATAGGTTCATTAAATCCGTCTCTCAAAATTCTCCTGTGAATACTGAAAAGAACAGGCCTGTAACTTCACGAAATAGTGCCAAAGACATACAATGGGGTGTCATTTTACTCAGCAGATGTAACTGAACACAAAATAAAACTTTGTACAGGAATAGCACACACCAACTTTACAAAATACACATGAGAATTTCTTTGTTACAAGTTTGTGTGCCAAAAAACTAAAAATTAAGCTTACAAGACAAACATGCCAAATTCTAAAATCGCTCCACATTGTTTACATTGTTTATTTTACTCCTTGTGCTTTGTGACCTGTAACTACCAAAAAAAAAAAAAAATCCCAGACACATTATATATTCTGTAAATCAGAATAACTAAATTAATTTATTTTTTATTACTTTCCTTAACCTGCACTAATTATGCACACATTATTGCAAAAACTGTAAAAAACATACATTTTCATATTTTTTTTGCATTTTTCTGTATTTTTTTATAAGTGTGTGTGTGTGTGTGTGTGTGTATGTATATATATATATATATATATATATATATATATATATATATAATATGTATATTATATGTGTGTGTGTGTCTTTCATCAAATTAAAGCCCTTTCTGTCCTTTAAAAAACGATCTATAATATGTGTCGGTGCAATAAATTAGTAAAATGCAAATTGCGGTTGAATGCAAACAGCAAAAAATGCTATTGTCATTAAGTGAAAGACAAGCTTCTGAAGCTCTGTCCTTAAGGGGTTAAAAGCCATCACAAAAAACAAATTTGCACACAAGTATTTATGTGAAGTAGACATTTCAGGTCATTTACATAAGGGTATTTTGACATTTTTTACATAAACATTCTACTGCCAATCTCTGCTAAATATTGTATGAAAATTGTTTTTTTTTTTTGTTTGTTTTTTTTTCCCTACATAAGTGACCAAGCTATTTCAGTTTCCATGGTTGGATTTGATGGACCTGTGTCTCATTTTGGGTCATTATAGCAGTTTGACTGTTCACATAAACCCCAAAGGCCTTCTAGTTAAGAAAACAAACTCCAGTTTGCTTTATTTAGCGTATATTGTATATAAACTTGCAGCCATTTTTTTCACCAATTTATCTCAAACAAAGTTATTTCTTTCCATACTTACATTTTTGTTGGATATTTTGTACATTTGATATGTGCCACTGTGATAAAATCCCCCAAATTGTGCTCAGTTACATCTTCTGAGTAAAACAATATGTCCAATGTATGACCTAGACCAGGGGTAGGCAACCTACGGAACGAGTGCCATGCACAGCACTCAAGGTGTATTTCTACGGTACTCAAGGCTGTTAGAGCCAAACGGGCTCTGTCCTATCAGGAGTCTCAGTGACACTTCAGATATCTGCTAATACGAAAAGGTGGTGAAGAACAATCCTCAATTTATGTATTGCAGCATGTAGAGAAAGTAATAATAGATCACTTCTTCCCAGCACTTGTGAATGGGAATCCACACTGGAGTAAAGCAGCCCGCAGCGGTTGTTGCAGCTCCTGTCCTTGACCTGTACCTGACCAGCATGGTCCACGCTGGACCCCAGGGAAGCCACCCACACTGCTAGGTAAACACAGAAATGCAGAATAACCCTCCCCTCATACAAATACAAACCGCCCACACACAATCCGCACAAACTCAACACCACTAACAATCCACATACATGCACACAACCCCACATTGCAGCCTCTCACATACAATACCCCAAACAGCCCCTCACATACACACTACCAAATACACAATGTGACAAATCCATCCATTCACACACAATTCCACAAGTAGCCCCCATACAAAGCCCACATTCCTAGGTATCTTACACGATACCACAAACGACTCATGAACATATACAATATAACAGCCCACATACGCACAAATACAAAGCAATTACAGTATAAATAACACAAGCAGAATACGGTAACATACACACCTCAATTTAAAAAAATAGGACCGGGACATCAGAATCCTATTTCGGCACAGTGCTGCTAAAAGGTTGCCTATTCCTGACCTAGACACTATTTTGTGCTGTAAAAGAGATGACCACTTCATATTTAAAGCGGCACTGTCATGGTCAAAAGGTTTTGTGGTTTTTTTTTTGTTTCTTTTTTAACCCCCCCTTGTGACTACACCACATCTAACTGACAGGTGGAAGCTGTTGCGTATGGGTAAGCGTGCATCTAGTGGGGCTAGTTGTTGACTGTCAGGAATAGTGATATTGTGGTTAGATGGCTGATCTAGTTAACTTGGAAATCCTTAAGGGTGAGAATGTAAAGGTCGATGTGTATGACAAGGTCGGAGTTGACTTCATATGGTGTACCATTGTGATTTCTCTGGGCCCCTGAGAAACCTGTGGAAGGCAATGTAAATAGTTACTTGGTAACAGTGTTATCTTTACTATCGAGTGGTTTGGTATCCGATACATCGCATAGGCTCCTGAACATATGTTCGGTTATTCGTAGTCTAATTGATGAAAGAGAATGTCCTGTTTGTGATGCCTTAGGAGGTTGTTGTAATGGAATATGAGGAAAGAAATGGAGTAGGATTGGGAAAAGTAATGAGGTAGTGATGTAGTGTTCTTGAAAGGTAAGAATTAATAATGCTATGTGTTATTTGTAAATGGTAGAAAGGCCAAAAGGTCATCATGGTCTTGTAGGGATTACCTGCGAAGGGACGCTCAAACTTAACATACTAAAAACTGTAACTTCCTGACGTAAGGTTTTTGGCATGCATAGAACGAATGTAATAGAATAGTTACTGTGCGAGTAACATAAATCCGTAACCAGTCAGGGTTTTGTCGGCTGTATGTTGATGGTGGGTGCAAGTAGAACATTGTTGAAGTTGAGATCGGGATAGCCTGACTGCTGTTAATTTATGTCTCCGTCCCCACCCATTCCCCCCACTTGACCAGCGTCTGAACCTAAAGGTTGGTTCTTTATCCTCGTACCGGGGTTTGAAACATATCGTATTTGAACCTATCTTGTTAACCAACATGGTCTCTATGAGAGAGACCTGAAAAGTACACCCTACAGAGATTGGACAAACAGATTACTATGAAGCGTGCGTAGATAATAGGAAAAGTGGAAGGAAGGATGTAACTCCACTTACCCTTAGTAATATAAAGGTGCGCGTATATAATGGAAAGGCCTGACTTTGACCTATGAGTAATAAATGTAAATCTGATAATCTATAGCGTACGAGATTACAATAGCCAGTGACGATTAGGGAGAACAAGGGAGGTACTTCTATACAAACATAACAGCCAACTTGAGAGAAGTCGATTCCCCTTAGACAGAAAACATAGAGAAAGAGCGTAAATCATCATGAAAGCATAACTTGATTGAAATGGTAGAATATATACCTAGGGTGGACCATGCGTGGGTCAAGTATAAAGGGCCAAGCCTCTTGACGTCCCGAAAATAAGGGGTTGTTGCATACCCGATAGGTGACATCTAAAGGTCCGAATTGAAATACTGTATAAAAGCAGGAGGAGTACATTATACAATGAAAAACTGGACAATGCCGAACAAGTGCGCCATACAGGCCCATGGTAAAATTGTTGTAAACATATGCATGACAAACCAACAAATACGTTGCAAACAATTTAGGGGTAAATAAAGTGGTCGACTGGGGTAATACTGTTGAAAAAGGAAGATTGGTATAAGTGACTAGAATTAACCAGGTGACATACATTTAACAGCATATAATATGAAAATAGACCATACAGCATTATGTCATAAATAAAATTCTAATAATGTTTAAACTGTAGATTGTATGTGAATTGTGAACCTGCAACAAGACCCTATTTGTTGGCAGGTAATTGCCCAACACATAGACCCGTGTTGGCCTAATATGAATTTGGGATAGTACGGAGACGGATAGGGGAGTAGTGCTGTTGGGGAGAAAAGAAATTTAAGTAATTAAAACAAAGTAAACGAGAACATATGGTGAAAGTGTTTGTGGAACGTAAAACGTGTACAGACAATTTTGGCAGTATTGTCCACAAGCTAAAAAAAAAAGTATTGGACGTAAACCAATACCAACAACCCTTACGTAACGACTAAATCTAAAGCAAAATCACATTTTGCAGGAAAAAACCCTATGTAGAATTGGCGTTAAATGTGTAAGGTGAACATATATGCCAGTTAAAATAATTGTCGTTTAACAGAGTGTGTGTGTGTGTGTGTGTATATGTGTGTATGTATGTATATATTCTATCCAAGTTTGAGCCTGATGTAACTTTAATCCAGTTGGTTGTGACACTTAACCAAATAGGGGACTAATTAGAATTGCGTATAAGTCAAAATGGCTAAGAGAGGACCTAATACTGTATGTGGAAAGAGGTATCTCTGTGATGCTATGAATGACTGAAATAGGCTGATTCCTATAGTGAGTTAACTGAATTACTAGCGTGAGCCGCTCTAGAGCATGACCAGCTTGTTCCGGGTATATGCAACCTTTTCAGCCGTGGTCGGAAAGATGGTGCCTCCATGACTTTAAGCTCAAAGCCAAATTTAAGCAAGGTCCAGACCTCAGGGCCTTTGAGAGTGGCGGGGACAGGGGATTCTACAGGGTACCTGGGATGACAGCGTTTTAGTGTCTGATAGAGAGAGAACGTCACCTGGAACTATTTCTTGCAGCATCCTGTAAGGAAACTAATGAGTTAACCATGCAAAACTTTGATGTAAATTAATAATATCCCTTATGTAGAGCTGACTCGCTAACTAGTGCAGAGAGGCGAAGAAATGGATTTAAACCCAGTGACTGGTGAGGCCCTACTACTTGCTTATGCGAGCGGCTCTACCTAATGATTTGGACCATGTGGGTTCGTAGCTTCAATGCGTTGTAGCGAGGTGTTGGCCTCTCAGTGACTGTAAAAGAATAAATACGTGTGGCCGTGACGTGAGGCCCTGGCTATAACCCTGCAGAAGATTATCCGAAGCACTAACTAAGTTGGGCAAAACCTCCGTATTGAGGTCGGGAGTTGACCTCGTGGGACCGGTATGTTTTATTTTATTTTTTAGACTTAGGACAGTTTCTATCCCTAAAAGCCAGTTCTTACCCTAGGCGGGACTTGTCTCTTTGTGAATGAGTGTGAACGTAAACATACATGCGTGAACAAACTTGATAGAATCAGAGAGAGGAGGACTGGAAAAAGGCACATGATGAAACTGCCGATTGTGATGTGAACCGGAAAATAGAAGGGAAATAAAATGACTAACAGAAGGGGGAAAATGTGCCCTTTATGTGCAGAACATGTTTGATTGGTAGCCCAAAGCATGCATTTAATTCTCATTTTTTCATTGGGGTATATCTAAACTCAGATTACAAAAGTAAAAAAATAAAAAAAATTAAAAAAACTCATGTAGGCTTTCCAAGACCTTCCATTCTAACCCACACTTTGTGTGGCTGTTCCATCACAGACTTCCCAATGCAGTTCAATGAGCACACTAGGCAAGGCAGGTGCTCTGAGCAATTGCTGCCTCTTGGGCTTTGCTCCACTGAGGAAATAATAGCCAGGGGGTATAACCAGATTAATTTGTAAATGTGCCTATTTCTGTTGATATCTGCTCCTTTTTGTAAGAAGAAAAAAAGAGGGGGGCAGACACCTATTTGGCACCTAAACCATTTCTCCACGCTAAAGAGACATGTCAGATCCCTTAAATCACTTCAAAGATTACATGGTCATAACTACCCATAATTTTTAAATAACTACTCTTATTTATGTAAAATTATTAATTTAGTTTTAATTTCAAATGTTAAAGAAACTGATAATTTTATCTTAACTTTTTTTTTTTTCTCCTATTTTTAGGTCAATTCCTTGATTTGCAGAATAAAGTGAAGAAATGTTCTACGCACATTTTGTTCTCAGCAAGCGAGGGCCGCTAGCCAAAATTTGGCTAGCGGCCCACTGGGACAAGAAGCTGACCAAAGCTCATGTGTTTGAATGCAACCTGGAAAGCAGTGTGGAGAGTATTATTTCACCAAAGGTATGTCTGGTTTCATTTTTTTGTTTGTTTATTATTCTCATGTTTATTATGATCTGCTTGTTTTACCTCTCTATCTTAATTGCATTATATATTTTGTGTGGCACAAACATTTGGCATTTGTCTTTTTATAAGTTGAAATACTGCAAGCTTGTTAGTTGCTGTTTCTTCTTACTCGGTGTTTGGTGTTCATGCATTCTTAGATATTTGCATGATACACCTAAGGCATCCTAATTAAAGTATACCTTGATGCTTTAGCTGTAATAACATGGTCTGTCAATTATAGGTAAAGATGGCGCTTCGAACCTCCGGACATCTTCTCCTGGGTGTTGTAAGAATCTACCACAGGAAAGCAAAGTATCTCCTTGCCGACTGTAATGAAGCTTTCATCAAAATTAAGATGGCTTTTCGCCCTGGTGAGCACACCTTTAAATGTATTTTTTTAAGGATTTTATGTGGGTTATTTTGTAAGTGTACGTTTTTCATAGTTATTGCTAGTGATCTACGGAAAGCAGCAATCTGTTAAATATAATTTTTAACCTCTTTCTGTAGGGCTATATAATCCTTTACTAAATGTTAAAAAGGATTGTTCCATATGAATTTAGGGCATAGTTGGACATTAGCAGAAGTTACATGTTCCTTGTATTAGACTTTTTAGTCATATAAAACACATTTCATTTTTGTTAAATAGTCTTTGCAAAAGCTCAAAGTTTTAATTAATTCACATTTAGTCTTCTTCTAAATCCTAATTCTTTGGAAGCTCACGTCCACTGTTCACGGTGAATTAAATTTGCAAGCTTGCACATTATGGGCAATTGACTAGAGATTTACACGTAAGCTGGTTTCTCATTTCAGTGATGGGAATAATGAGAATTTATTCTCTGGATGGTAGATGCCTACTATTACCCAGTTTGTTTGACAATGGAACATAGGTTTGTTCTTGCCTCCACTGTTTATACCAGGACTGTAGACACTTTACTTTGTGGGGGGGGGAAAGGCTTTTCCCAGAACTTCTTTAGTTAATACCATGCATTTAACAGTAGTTAAAATATCTGGACTGGACTTGACGTGACTACCTGTGTGGGAATAACTTTTCTCATCCATAATATATTTTATTTTCATTCTTAGAAAGTTTAGCTTCTCATTATTGAAATCTGGTGTTTTGCAAATACAGTTCCATCATTCTATGAGTATTACATGGGTGTTAACCCTTGACTTAATAATTTTTTAGGTGTTGTGGATTTACCGGAGGAAAATAGAGAAGCTGCTTACAACGCCATTACACTTCCAGAGGAGTTCCATGACTTTGACCAGCCTCTGCCAGATCTAGAGTAAGCAAAGAGCTACTTTTACTCGGTTTTGTTTTGCTCATACTTACATGATTGGCATTGTTTATTTTGAGATTGCAAAACTTATTTAGTTTTTCTTTTGAGACCCATAAAAGCAGTGTGTTTAACTGTTTTACATGTATCTATTAAAAGATTTAGCTGTGAGTAGAATATTTGCAGCTAATATGCTGAATCTGATAGGGACCTAAAAAGCTAATACTCGGTTATTTAAAGGGCCAGTCTTCTGCCCAAATAAATAAAAAAAAAATCACTGTTTGGCAAATACACCCCCAATGAAAACATGCATGCATTTAATTATGCATTTTTTCATTGTTGGTATATTTAAAAACTGCTTGCAAAATTACTTGTCTGAAGCCTTTGCAAGCCCATACTTTCTGTGCCTGTCCAGTCAGACTTCCCAATGCAGATCAATGAAGTCTTGCAAGGCACATGCTCTGGGCAAGTGCTACTTCCTGGTAGTTTAGCTCAGTTGAGCCAAACTCAGGATGCAACATGACCTGTTGTCTGACAGCCCAAGGGGGTGTGACGAGGTTAATCTATACATTTGCAATTTCTACTGACATCTGTGCTTTTTGTAAAAAGAGGACACGCTCTTCTTGCATAAAGCTAAAGTGCTTTAGATGTTTGGAGTGATCCATTAAATTAAAATCAATACCTTTTTGGGGTTCTTTGAAAATGCATAGAAAAAGGTCTCTCAGCCAATGAATGGTCAGCTGGATCAGCATCGGGATCTGCAGAAGCTGGATGCAGGTCACAGCTAACCGTAGAGGAGGAGATATGGTGCTCGGCAAGTCCAGAGAAGAGTAAAAAAACTTGCAAAATGGTTAGCCCTATTACTAGGAAACATGCCAGTGTACTCGTGGTGTCATAACCACTACAGCAAGCTGTGTATGTTTGTAATAAACTGGTGCATTTCTGAGAAAGTTTAGTGTGGTGTGTAAAACAATATAAGGCTGTGTGCTTGGAAGAGTCAGTGAGAAAATTTAGGTGTATATGCACAAACCACAGGTGCTTTGAGGGTCAGGTTTGTGGTACAGATGTACTGGGGGGCTGTGTCAAGTGGCGTTCTGAAATGTTCCACTTTTAGTTCCTTAAATTCAGACTTTTTATAAATAACCTCCATAGTAGTGGAAAGGGGGGTAGCATTTGTGAAGGGGATTCTTGCCATAATTCTACAGTATTTAATATTGAATCACTGAGAATACTATTTTTTTTTTTTTTTAAAGAACATGGTCCTCTACAAATATTCGTTTTTGTGAAATTTTCAGTGTCATTTTTGCATGTTAGCTGAAATATTCTATAGCTGTGCTGATTGTATCAGTGCCAGTTGTTGAACAAATATATGCCTGTATGGTATACTTTGCCTACTAGATAAGCAAGCAGTTTTCTTTCTCCATATCCAGTGGGCAAACTTCAAATAAACCTAATCTTGTTCAAAGAAACCATTGCAAACCTTTTCCTTGATTCACTGCTGTCAGATCACCCATTCTACAGCTTGTTAGTGTATTGTTCTTTGAAATGTTTACACCTTATTGCAGTTTGAAAGGTTCCTGTAAGTTGCTTCTAGTGTGCTCTGAACAAGTGGCATAAATATAACGAGCACTGCAAAACTGCATTGAAGGTAAAAATAACATTGTATCTAACATGCAACACTTTTTTTTTTTTTTTTTTTTTCTTGTTACAAGTGATATTGATGTGGCTCAGCAGTTCAGTCTGAATCAGAGCAGAGTAGAGGAGATCACAATGAGGGAAGAAGTTGGTAACATCAACATCCTTCAGGATAACGACTTTGGTTGGTATTGGTTTTTATATAAATGTGTACCTAATTTGGTGTGTTTTATGAAGTCTGTTTAAGGATATTTGTATATTTCCAATCTAATTCAGGGTAGATATGCAGATTGTGCCAAACATGCGCTGTGAATGGCATATATATTTTATTTATTTTTTTATTTTACAAAGCAGTGTTGGATAATTTTGCAAAAAGAAAAGTTCAAAATGAAACATCATAGGATAACACTTTGTTTCATTTTTTTTAATAGTTTAAGTAAATTATTTAGCATTGAAGCCCGTGTGGACATCAGCTCAAGACAAATGTACCTTTGCTTGCCTCTCCCCTCCTCTGTCTAATGCAAACTTGAAAACTCTAAACACAGTTTTGCTTGTGGATCACTAGTTTTCACATATATGCCCCAGAGGGCTATGATGGTCCTAAATGTCATCTAATTTTTCCTATTGTCTTGACTGTATCCCATTTAGCTCTTAACTGAAGTTCTAATGAATATCTGCCTTCCTGACAGAATAGTATTGGTGTTTTATCCAGGTCGAGCGCTGCAGTCTGACACCCTGCTCTTGTTAAGACCACCCTGCTTAATGAAGTGGTCTGGGTGCCTGGTCCAGCTAAGGTTAACCCATTTTTTCATAAACATAGCAGTTTCAGAGAAACTGCTATGTTTATGAATGGGTTAAGCCTTCCCCTATTTCCTCTAGCGGCTGTCTCGTTGACAGCTGCTAGAGGCACTTGCGTGATTCTCGCTGTGATTTTCACAGTGAGAGCATGCCAGCGTCCATAGGAAAGCATTATGAATGCTTTCCTATGTGACCGGCTGAATGCGCGCGCAGCTCTTGCCGCGTGTGCGCATTCAGCCGCATGGGAGGAGAATCGGAGGAGGAGAGCTCTCCGCCCAGCGCTGGAAAAAGGTAAGTTTTAACCCCTTTCCAGAGCCGGACGGGAGGGTGTCCCTGAGGGTGGGGGCACCCTCAGGGCACTATAGTGCCAGGAAAACGAGTATGTTTTCCCGGCACTATAGTGGTCCTTTAAGGATCCACAGGCTTCACATATAACGTAGAGCTCTGCTCCATAATTTGATTACAAAGAACTGTTTTCTATTGTGTATAACTTGTTCGAATTAAATCTATTCGTGTTTTTCTTTGATTGTATTTGAATTATCTGTGGTTACAGGTGATTTTGGAATGGATGATCGTGAGATGATGCGAGAGGACAGCGCATTTGAGGATGATATGTTGGTGAGCACAAGCACTTCAAACCTCTTGTTAGAGCCGGAGCAAGGCACCAGTCAACTAAATGAGAAGACTAACCACCTGGAATACGATGACCAGTACAAAGATGACAATTTTGGCGAAGTGACCGATGGTGGAATTTTAGGTATTTAGGAATCTATTGCTTACAAGGACTGTTCTGTGTAATTCTGGTACATGTTATATATTGGTGATGTATTACAACTTTCTGAACAACCAGAAAATGCTACAAGCAAGTAAACTGCAAACTTAGAATGCATGCTATAAATTGGTAATCTTGTAGCAAATCTTAGATTGTGTGTAGGGGAACATTTAAAAAAAAAAAAGTTTGGAGGGCACATATGTACGGCTGACCTGATTTTAGAAGAAAGGTATAAACATTTATGTACAAACTGCCTTGCCATTTCTCCCTACATCATATACACACAGCATTTTTTGTAATGAAGTATGGTCACACACACCGTGGCCCTGAAAAAATCATATTTTATAAAGATAGAATATTTATTACATACTCATGTTGACTGTATTGGAATTTCACTGGAATTACAACCCAGTCAAGAGATATACTGAGACAGAGGGGACTACTTTGTCGCTATATATTTTGTGCGCCTCACACTTCTAAACACTGGGCGAAGCTATGCTGTCTAGAAGAGTCATTGGTGCTGAAGCAGACCTGCCAAAGGAAGATGGCCACGCCTGCAATAGTTTCAGGTAAGTAAAAATACACACCACCCACCTCAGCGGCCATGTTACCATTTGGAGGTATTCGTGAATTTTTCAAATCCTCAATTTGACAGTGCTGCTTTAAATTAAGGCATGTATTTGACTTGCTGGTATGTGAACCCAGGAGTATAGTGTATGCGTTTGCACATAGGATCACTGTATGAGTACACCTTTCAACTCTGTTACTAACCCACTACTTGTTCCCAGCCTACCAGGGCACATAGGAAGTGAACTCTCTTGATATCTATGCTAAACATTTGAATTGTTAAGCATTTGTTTACGCAATACAGAGTAATTCAACATATTGACTGCAGTGCTTCAGAATAATAAGTTGCATAAATTAGTGAATGTCTCTAAAATTGCAGACACCATAGATTGTCTGTCATGGTTTGACATTTAAATCTTCTATTGTCATATCTTGAATAGTAGTGGTTATGGTAATGGCAGAGACCTTAATTACAATTTGTCCTTAGTCTTAAAATACTGTTCGTTTGAAATATTTACTATGTGCATATTCTTTTTCTCGCAGATGACAAACTTTTGAGCAATGACGGTGGAGGCATCTTTGATGATCCACCTGCTATTCCTGAAGAGGGTGTTGCTATGCCCGAGCAGCCTGCCCACGATGATGACTTGGATGATGATGATGATAATGTTTCTAGTGGCTATATTCCCTGTAAGCAAGTATAACAAAATGTGTCGTGTGTCTACCAAAGCCAGCTGTATTCAGTTTTTGGATACATTTGTAAGTGTTGAGCTTGTTGATGGTGCATTCTTTTATATTTTTTGCCTGAGTGATATTATTTTTTACAGTGGGAGGACCAGATAGCCCAGATTCTGTAGACCCAGTGGAACCCCTGCCAACTATGACAGACCAGACTACATTGGTTCCTAATGAAGAGGAAGCATTTGCCTTGGAACCAATTGACATCACAGGTAACTTTTTATTTCTCTTAACAAAAACATACATTTATAATTCACATTTATATTTCACACTATATTGAATTTTTTTTAATTTTATTGTATCCATTTAGATACATTTTGATTTAACATCTGGCTCTTCAGCTTTTATGTAGTGCGTTCTTATGCACATAAGACAAGATATAATTGCTCTGCGCCTTGGTGTGGCAATAGTAGCTTAGAAAGGGGGATTCAGCCTTGGATTACAGTGTTTATAATTTCTTTACCTTGTGGAGCCCCATGTTGCTACATCCAGCAACATATATGGTATTACAATTTTCAAATAAAGCGTTGGAGGCAGTCTGGGCACCAAGTTACTTCCTAATGTTGTGTTTTTGGTGTTTAGATGCTGACTTTTTAATCGGCAGTGTTTATATTTGTCACTGCAGGCCATTCGTTTAAGACTGACTGACCACCTGGCACCACGAATGGGTGCCTTAGCTAATCGCTGCTTCCTAGTATCCTGGAGTACTATAAGCATCGCACCGGACACCATAAGCACCGAAGCCCCTTAGCTGCTGTAGCTTGGCTGGGGCTCTCGCTGTCCTCCACCCACCCTGGACCCAAGCCCAGGATCCAGCTTCCAGTGTGTGGACCTCTCCTACTCCAGAGAGTATAGCTGTGTAGCCCTTACAAGGGATAGTGATTATAGCCAGTATAGCAATCTGAAGCTGGTATAGCTGTTCCCTACAATCATGAGATGAGGCTGCGTGTTGAGGGTGAAATGAACTGACTTTATTGGGACCACACTTGGCCTTTGACAGTCCCCATGCAAGGGGCACTCCCCCCTGGACTGGAGAGTAATCCACAATAGAAACAAATACACAATCACAAACTAGGTCAATTCCATCCTTTGTACCTAGGAGATAATTGAGTCAAGTACTCTATTAACTCTGTTATCTCCAGACACAAAAACACCCATTTTTATAAAACCCCCACAGTTACATCACATGGTAACCCCGATCTGGGTGAACAACATATCCAGGAATTTCCTGGTAGTCATAGTTTTGGCTAACCGCATGCATGGTCCCATGCCCAAATTAGTTCCATAGAATCACAAGTAAAGTGCCACTGGGGGACCGACCGGGAACCGCAAAGTTTTCATGCTGAAAATAGTTCCAGGGCATTTGCGGTTAAGTCCCCGGGAAGTCTATTCGCTGTTTTGGTCCATGCGAACGGCTGCCAGTGAGCTAGCGTTCAGTTCTATGGAAACTGCCAAACCAGGGGGAATAAAATATGGGTCATTAGTCGCTGACCTGACCCATAGTCTTTTGGCAGGAGGCTGGCAAGCAGGCCCTTCCAAAAGTCCATAGCAAAGTTCTGTTCACCACAAAGACCTACATTGCATTTGGTTTCAAATCATAATGCCAAACACCAGTCTATAAGAAACCTCTGATTTGAAGAGTTTTGCAATTGCCACACATGTGCCGAAGTCAGCAGTGCTTCTCTATGTGAAGCATTGGTTTGGGACAAATTTAATCCTGATAATCTCATCGTGGGAGGAGCTGCTACAGCAAGGAGATTGTCCCAGTGCTGGATTACTGAGACAGCTCTTAAATAACTAAGACTGGACCACACAAACAATGCCATGTCAAATGACCGGTATATATTCTCTGCAAATTTAGCATAATCCAAATTCACATCGGCAAAACTTTTAAAAGGAAGATGTAAAAACAATACTTTTATCTTTGACATTTGTGTTAAACAGAAAAATCACTTTTCCATCTCTTCAATTTTTAGTCAAGGAAACCAAGGCCAAGAGGAAAAGGAAGCTGATTGTGGATAGTGTAAAAGAGCTGGACAGCAAAACCATTCGTGCCCAACTAAGTGACTACTCTGACATTGTCACCACACTGGACCTTGCTCCACCTACAAAAAAATTAATGATGTGGAAGGAGACTGGTGGTGTTGAAAAGCTCTTTTCCTTGCCTGCTCAGCCATTGTGGAATATCAGGCTACTGAAGGTATTGGGATTCATGTTTCTTTACAAAATCTAATCTCACTGCACTTAAACTTTAACAGAGTGATGGCCAACATGTAGTCCAAACTGTGTTGCTCTGCTTAAATCCCCTGGTTTAACATCAAACATCTGATCCACCCCAGCACTCTTACCTAATTAATACTAACAAGTTAAAATTAAATTGACATTGATAATGCAGAAGTGTTAATTCCACATTATAAATGCAATAAAGATGGGTGGTCACTTGACACAAAAAAAGCCCTCATATCAAACCATTACACAGTCTGATATGAAAGGGGTGTCAGTGGACTCTTGGTAATCTAAACACTCTGATCTTCATGGCCTATATGAATGTGCACAGATTTAATAGCTGGGTATTGAGGTGTGCGATATAACTGCTAGAGTTGGGTGTTCTATGTATTGGGATGTGCATAAACATGTTGGGAGGATTACATATGTTTGTTAGAACTGGTGAAAACTGATAGGGCAAAAATCATGTAACCAATCGTAAGATTCACCTCCTTGTTGTGCGTTTCCTTTGTGCTTAGCTTTTCACACGTTGCCTTACACCTCTTGTACCGGATGAACTTCGAAAGAGGAGGAAAGGTGGTGAAGCTGATAATCTGGATGAGTTCCTTAAAGAATTTGAGAATCCTGAAGTTCCAAGAGAGGAGATAAGACAACAGGATGTCATTGGTTAGTATTTGTTACTGTAATGTTTTTCTCAACTGTCCTACTCGTTCATGTAAAATTGAAGCACAGAGCCCCTAACTCTCCTTGATTTGGATATATGCAAGTAATTGTGTTACTGCCTTGTAGACCAGCCTATTTTGGAAGAAGCTAGTCGTCTTCAGGAGTCTTTGATGGAGGGAAGTAGAACTCAGCTTGATGAGTCGGTAATGCCACCACCACCACCACAGCAGGGAGTGAAACGCGATTCCCAGCAAATGGAACCAGAGCCTATTGTGCCGGTAAGACTTTTCTTTCAAAGAAGTGACTGGCTGTTTTAAACATTTATGAGAACGTACCCAAAAGTTAATTTGGCTTAACCCCTTAAGGACGGAGCCAAATGTACACGTTGTGAACAAAACAAAATGTAAACAAAACCTGGCATTTGCGCTACATGTTTGTCCAACCGTAATTCAACTCTTTCATAGTAAATGCACCCACCCTTATTATATATCATTTTGTTCAGGAGAAACAGGGCTTTCATTTCATATCAAATATTTATATATTGAATAAAATTTAAACTGTGAGAAATATTAAATTTTTTAAAAATTTTTTAGTTCCGCCTCACATTTTAGCTGTAAATGTCATAATACTGTTAGGTTTTACTGCAAAAAAATGCACATATTTGTAATCAGCGATGTCTCAAGAGTACAACAGTACACCCCATTAACAGGTTTTATGGTGTTTTGGAAAGTTACAGGGTCAAATATAGAACATTCCATTTTCACATTGAAATTTGCTAGATTAGTAATGTTACCTTTGAGACGGTGTGGTAGCCCAGGAATGAGAATTACCCCCATAATGGCAGACCATTTGAAAAAGTAGACAACCCAAGGTATTGAACGTGGTCTTTTTTAGTAGCCACTTAGTCACAAACACTGGCCAAATTTAGCGTTCATATGTTTTTTTGTGAAAAAAGCAAAAAAACTAATATTTGCCCAGTGTTTGTGACTAAGTGGCTACTAAAATTGATTGGACATACCCCATTTGCAATACCTTGGGTTGTCTACTTTTGCAAATGGTATGCCATCATTGGGGTAATGCTCATTCCTGGGTTACCATACGCTCTCAAGGGCAACATAACCAATCTAGCAAATTTCAATGTCAACAAAATGAAATGCAAGCCTTATATGTGACTCTCTAACTTTCCAAAACACCATAAAACCTGTACATGGGGGGTACTGTTATTCTCGGGAGACTTCACTAAACATAAATATTAGTGTTTTAAAACAGTAAAACATATTCCAACAATAATAGTCCATAAACATGACGTTCGTTTGTAAAAAATGCAAACAACTTCACTTTTACTTAAAATATCATCGTTGTAATACAATTTACCAGTTTGAAACACCAATATTTGAGTTCAGCGAAGTCTCCCGAGTAAAACAATGCCCCCTATGTACAGGTTTTATGGTGTCTTGGAGAGTTACAGGGTCAAATATAGTGCTTGCGAATTAAATTCTCTGCACTTTCTCCCTGTGTTGTCAGGCATGTCAATCAAATTTTAATCAAATCACCTAATTATGTTAAAAGATTACTTAAATATACACGTAGAATTTTAATATATATGCATTTATAGGTATTTAAATTCTACGTGTATGCTAATGTAATTATGTATTTATCTATATATATTTATTTGCGGTTATTTGTATTTTATATATAGATATATATAGAATGTCATTCTAAGTATATTTTGTTACATATATATTAACAAAATACAGTTAGAATGAAATTACTTATGAATATGTAATTTATATTACATTTTGTTTCAATATTTAATTTATTTTTAATTTATTATTGTAATTATATGTATATACATGTAACGTCATTCTAAGTGTATTTTAATAATATATAGTTATATTAATATTAAAATACATTACATATGACGTTATATGTGTGTGTATATATATATATATATATATATATATATATATTTTTTTTTTTATTTTTTAACATGTTTATTTTTTTACTACTTCCCACTAGCAGGGGGACTGTCTGACATTTCAGACAGCCCCCATGCTGGCAGATCCACAGCCAGCTGTAGGGGGCCATGTGATCGCTCTTTGAGAGCGATCACATGGCTGCCTGGGCGGTCTGGCAGCCCTGCAGAAGAGGATCGCGGCGGAGGTAAGTACCGCCGGTCCTCTGGGGCTCAAAGCCGTTACGGCGTTCTATGCCGCCATAACGGCAGAAAGGGGTTAAAGTGGTCATTTCTCATTGGGTGTTTGTTTTTGTTTTTTTAAATATTATGAAAAATGTTTGTTGCGTTGCATTTTTGTTTAAATAGTTAAAAAAATAAAATAAAAATATGCATGAGACTATAGACTAATTTATCTCATATGACAGTCAATAAAAGAATTTCCACTTGTCTACTCCTGCACCCATGACAGCTGATGGAGTGAAATGAGTATGCAGTAGATGCTTCATTGTGCATGCATGAGAAGATCTTTCATAGACCCTGTCTTTTTATTCTTGCAAAAGGACAAGTCACCTGAGGAGTACTAAAAACCGAAAGGGACACTACTGCTTTTCATTCATTCTTGGTGCAAACAAAAGAATTGGAGTGGCACATACATGAACCTGGTGCCTCAAGGGCAAGGCAGCCAACTCCACTGCATACAAACAGAGGAATGTTTTGGTACATGTGAAATATGTGGCTAGGAAACTTTACCTACAGTGTTCAGCAACTGCTATACAGCGTGGGTTAAATAGGTTTCTAAACATATATTTCCTAAATGCCTCACTCCTTACTTTGGGATAAAACAAATATTTTTATATTTTGTTTGTAATGACTAGAATTGAAGCATTACATTTCTCACTCTTAATTTTTGTGCATCAGGAACCAGAGCCGCAGATAGAATTGCCACCAGTGGAGCTTCCTCCAGAGGAGCCACAAAACATCGGAGATATGATCCCCGACCTCATACCCGAGAAGGAAAAGGATAAAGACAAAGAGGAGGAGGAAGAGGAGGAGGTACTGACATGTCTGCGTTTAAGCTCACAAATAACTAATCTTATCTTTACATTACATTTACAGTTGTAAACCCAGCATTTGGGGGGGCGGTGGGGCTACCCTTTTTATCCAGTTATATATTTAATCTGCCTGCTGCTTTGTTGTATTTTGTAATTGCTGATTGATTTTTACACTTGTTTATTTTGTATTCTACTTATCCATACTTACTCCACCCCACACATTAATAGACTGTCCCCAGTTGTCTTAAGCTGCTGCTTGTCATTGTCTTATATCACAATAGTACACTGTAATCTTTCCACCAAGCCAGCTTAAAACATCTGTGGCTTTTAACATCTCAATAAAGAATCTGCTATGTAAAATATTTTTTCAGAATGAGACACGAGACCCATTTACTGTGTACCAGACAAGCAGGTAGTTTAGTACGAGTGCCTGGTGCTCTTGGGACATTGAGAAATATGAATTAATTTTCTAGTTCAGTTGTTATCCCATGAATATTAATGAGGTCTCGCAGCTGGTTTTCTAACTGCTGTTTTTGTTGCTGCAGGAGGAAGATGCCACAGGGACTGAGCAGGATCAGGAGGAGAGACGATGGAATAAGAGGACTCAGCAGATGCTGCACGGGCTCCAGGTACTGTCGTTTTTAGCTTTTGTTGCTCATTTTCCTATTCATAAGCAGTACAACCAGTTCCCTAATGCACACTTCATGCAACAGTGTGACTTGTACATTATTGTCCTTTATATTGCACTTTTCATGTAAAAATTGCGCATTAAATTGAATAATAATTAACGTTGTCTTGCAAGTTTCAGTGTATCGTTTAGCCAGCAACTTTTTGACTCTAGACAAGTCTGTTAAACCTCGCTTGACAAAGACTTGCCAAGAATGACTTCCCTTTGCCATAATTACAATGTAACTTTATAGAATTTTTAAAGTCTCAGCTGGGTCTTGATCTACAGCTCTCTCTCCCTGCTGGTGCTTTGCACAATTTGATATCCTGCAGTACATGGCTTACCTGTCTTTTATCTCGTAATGCGTCATGTTACCAGGATTTTTGTGGCTTTGTTTTTTGTATGCATGTTTTTCCCTCTGCTCCGTAAAGAAGGAACGTAAATGATGCTTTGGCAGTATGTGATTACGTTCTTGCTTTAAAATTACCTATTAATGCTTTGCCATTTCTAATGCCGCAACTTTTTTGTTTTGCAGAGAGTTTTGGCTAAAACTGGTGCCGAATCAATTAGTCTGCTAGAACTGTGCAGGAATACAAACCGCAAACAAGCTGCAGCAAAGTTTTACAGTTTCCTTGTCCTTAAAAAGCAGCAAGCTATCGAGCTGACTCAAGAGGAGCCTTACAGTGACATCGTAGCCACTCCAGGACCAAGATTTCATGTTGTGTAACTTGATACTCTTGAGCACATTACATCTGAATATCCCCATGAACCTTTTATATATGCTGGAGCCAGGTGCATAGCATGGCAGAGCACTGTAGTAAAAGCTTCTCCAACACCCTATGGTTAAAACCATTTGTTGGTGATATTGCTAATGGTCTTATTTTAATATATGTACAAAGTTTTTTTGTTTTAGTTTTTTCTCTCAAGTGTGACATCTATATTTTTATGGGATATAAATGTGGTATGGGTATATTTTTATTTTCTTCCGTCTCCTCCAGATTTTGCCCATAGATGCTTTTTGAGACGATACTTGGTAACCTTAGGGACAGTTTCGCGCAGTATTGGTCTTTCTAGAACCAATGTTCATGTAACGGAAGTTTTTCACATCCTGGTTGCACCAGCTGCAGGACAACAGTTTGTATCCCGTAGGATCCAGGTTTTCTTTGCTATTTTCGTAGGGAAATCTATTTAGATGAACAGGTTTTACTTAATGCCTCCTAAATATTTTTCCAGTTGGATTGCATTGTTTTATACTGTGTACATTTTAATGTGCTTTATTTTTATTTTTTTTAATTGCAAAGTAACACTTTTGAAAAGTAGTTTTAAATCTTTAAATATACATCCACTGTTCCAGGAAACTCTATTGGGCAAGTGGAATCCATAGTAAAGATTACTTCTCAAAACACATTTCAGAAGTTCTATGCCAGTGCTTTAAAAAAAAAAAAAAGTAACTATAAAGTGAAGTTTTAATTTACTTATTTTTTATGTAAAGTTTCTTTATGAAACCCTCCCAGCATTTTTTTTTCTCTTTGCTGTTTTCTAGATCTCTGTATATCTGTTACAATCATTTCCTGCAATTTTTGTCTCATTAAAAGCTTCTATAAGCAAAGCATAAGGGCCAAAATCTAAAGTCTTTGAGGTTAGTTTGGCAATGTTATATCACTTTCCCCCTCAAGAATCCTCATGCTCCCTTGGTGGAAGTTCTGTTGTGTTCGTGCGTGAACCTTTTACATTGTTTAACCTTCCCTTCAAGCTTTTTTCATACTCTTATTTGCTAGCATACTCTGCCTCGGTATCCACTGCATTGGAGAGTTCGGGGGTTTCCTAGATAATAGCACAGATTGCCGAAAAATGTGTTGTCTCGTGTTCACAATACCTCACGTCCTGAAGCTATGTCTTTGTAAGTCTGCTGTATGCTCTGAGAACTTCAGATCAGCAAACACACTGCTTCTTGCACACCGCTTGTTGGTAAAGGATGATTTAATTTTTTGCAGCAGTGTATGAAACTCAGTATTTGTAAACCGCTGATTTGTTTCATTGGCTCGTTTTTTATAACCTGATAGAAAGGGACATTTACAATGCTGAGAACATTTAAAGGTATAGCTTGTATGAGTGTCACCCATCTTTGTTTTTGGGAAAACTAATTGGACATTAGATGCAGTATTTCTTCTCTTTGTAGCTGCAAATACTAAAAGTAAGCTTTATTCTTCTAAGAATTTTAAACCTCATCAGAAGTGATATTTTTCATTAAACAAAATGCTGTGGCATTTCATTTAAGTCCTGGCATATGATTTTTACAAACTGCACAAACTGAATCTCTTGTTTAGCACTCAAATAAGCATGGCTGTAAAATGCATGCCTGCAGTCGCAAGTGTTGTGTGTCTTTAATACATGGGTGAGCCCAGCTAAATAAAATGGCTGTGCTGTAAGTTAATTCAATTTAACTCTTCAATCTCCCCTAAAAGAACAGTGACCGTGTAAGCAACAGATTTGTTTAGTTTTGTGAAAGCATTTCTTTATAATGTTTCACGTTGTTAGCCATATGTGGTGGGCGCAAACCAAATATCTGCAATACTGTTCACATGTTATGAAGGTCATCTCCTATGAAGACTATTTAAAAACAATTGTTCCCCTCACTGATGTTCATCATGTTGTAAATCTTCATCAGTGCCTTTAAAAGAATTAGCAGAATACACTTTTCTGAAACAATAGTGTTGTGAAAAGCTGCGCATCTCTTTTGTTATGCTTTGCCAATATTTACTTTAGTACACACACTGTCAGTAACAAGAGAAAAAAATCTGTCTCAGGGTTAAATCTATTTTACATTTTCCAAAACTGCTCATTGACATCAGTTTTAAAAAATGTAGCGAACTCCAACCCAGTTCTTGTTACTTTTCCTCTGCTTAGAGAGCAACAGCTGTTATTTCTTTCATAAAAAAGTAAGCCTGCATTTAGCTGATATAGAAAGCAAATTTTGTAACACTATTGTGATCTTATCAAACATGGTGCTAGAATGTGATCACGGAATACGGTCTTGTGTTCTAGAATAGTGGCCACCGTCCTGTAGTGCTTGTTCTGTTCTCTTAAGATTTTTATGATTATTGTCCCCAGAAATTTTAATCATGGATGGAACATTTTAAATAACTTGGCAAAAATATTTATTTTTATGAACCATGTATTTTGTAACATGGGCTTTGAAAAATTGGTACAATGTAAGTTTTTTTTTGTTCGCCATTTTGTTCCGGCTTATCGCACTTTGGTAGATGTTTGCGTTACATAATGGTTTGAATCCTTCTCTCCAGCCAACAATTACAATGCATTAGATTATTTAAAGGAACACTATAGTGTTAGGATTGCAAACATATTCCTAACTATATTGTGGAGTACCTATTTAGGTCCCCCCACCAGTAGGAAGTTACTGTGGCAGCCGATCTATTTCAATCCAGTGCTTTCCCATAGGAAAGCATTGGGAAGCTATTGCTCATGAACAACAAAACACAGTGCTGCGCCAAAACCATATTGTTTTATAGAGATGCATTAGATCAATGCATCTCTATGAGGAACGTTCAGCATCTCCATGTACAGCTTGCAACTGGCCAGTAATGTAAAAGACTGCCTTTTCATTGCAGAGCCTGCAGGGACATTTTAAAGACACAAGAACTACTACAATAAGCTGTAGTGGTTATTGTGACTGTAGTGTCCCTTTAACATACTGTTATTTTGGATTTCTGATACTGCACGCTTCTGTTCTTAAACCCTAAAATTTTTACTTTTCATATACACATCTTCCCACTCACTAGTCTAATGATGGCACTTTCATGAACCATGTACAGTGAATTTTTTTTTTTCTCAATGCTATTACAGTGTAGTTCACTAGACAGAATAACCTATTGCATGATTTTAAAGTGGCTGAAAAAGAACTGTGGTTTTGCTCTTTATCCTGATGACGATCATTCTCTTGTTTTATTCTGAGACTTGTTTAATCCAGTAAAACAAACTACTTGGTTATTATGCCAAACATTTTATTTATCGTTCCAATTGTGGATACAAAAAAGAAAAATTGTTTTTAATCCTGAAAATGTAAAAAAAAAAATATGAATAAAAGCTTTACTTCTGCCATTCTATTTTCTATTTGTGCCTGGAAAACCAGTGTCCCCTTTGTATAAAGAGATATTGTAGATAACTTTGGATGTTTTAATTATAGAAATTAATCTGTTTCTTGTTACACATTTTAGCCAGTTTTCATTGCTTCTAAAGAATAATTGTTGATGAAAATAGTTGATGCTATTATGTATAACTTTTTTTTTTTTCTAATAAAAGCCTTGATAACCTATAATTCATGTGACCTCTTTCTTTACTCTAAAGCATTACTAGTATGCAGGGTGTCTGCTAGGTGTGTGTTTACCTTATTGATGCAGTGAGTTGCATCAGGCGAGGCTGTTTTGACAGGTTTCACATTATCCATTTTGATGTTAGCTTTAATGTAAACTTTGAAAAGAATTTCTTAATTTACAATCAAGGGTTTTTTTTTTTTTTTAAAGTCTAAAATTGTTGTACATGTGCATTGTAAATTTCTGTTAAGAACCCATTATTTTTCCAATTAATAGAAGGGGGGTGGGGGGGGGGAAATAATGTATCTCTAAATGCTCCCTTTACTGTCAACTAGCTAAATAAACTTTAGACATATTTTCAGAACAGATCTTCTTTCTCTCACAGTTTTGAGTGATGTCTGTGTCCCATATAGAACAAAATTGTCACCCACTGCTTTATGCTGATTTGTTAGCTATGGTTCTTTTACCATAAACCAATTAACGGATTGAGAAGACTCTTGCGCTAGCCTTGTAACTTTAAAGGCACCAGGTGTTTTCTGTGACCATATGAAAGATGGCAGCACACACCAAGAGGCTCAAGCTATGAGTTTACTTATCTGATACACATTTCAATATACCTTCAAGTAGGCGCCAGTGTATCTGAACTACATGGTGTTGCTTACTGACTTACAAGAGCTAGCTGCACATTTATCGCTGCCAGAGCCATATTTTAGTTTGTAATTGCCAGTGATATTCTTGCCAATTTATTTTTTTCAATAAAATTTTTGAGGCATAGTTAATGCAGTACAGACAGAAAACAAATCTGAGTTAATACATATGTTCATGTGACAGGGTATGATGTACAGAATGCAAAATGTAAACTTAACTTTATATATATATATATATATATATATATATATATGATACATGCCGACTAGACTGGCACGGTCATCTTAGACATTTAGCTGTACTATTGGGCATGGAGGGTATGCTGGGCCTCTGAGATCATAACCATATGCATGGTATGCAATGTAGTTACCATCCTCTAAGCTTCAGCCTATACACACTTTCAGGCAACGCATTTATGGTCCATCTCTGAACAAGGCTAATCTCCCATGTTAAGTGGATAGTTGGTTAAGTGCTGAATAATATACGATTTAGACATGATTGAGTGCCCAGGTATTGGTAACCAAAATATTAGGGATGCCCATCGGTATGCTGAACGATGTCTCAGCTAAGAGGAAACAAATTATTTAAGTATTACACAGGTTTTGGTGTATAATTATAGATTGGTATTTCCTGCGCCCCGTTTTTTGCTCTCCATAAGTTTAAAGGGTAATCCAGACGTGGACCCCTTGCTCACGGTGTCTAGAGAGATATCAGCCATGCCTCACTGATGCTTAACAAGGCTGAAACAATAGTCTGGGGTTGCTGTGTCTCTCGTGCAGAGGAAACTTGCTGGCATTTCGCATCTGGACTGCCCGTATGGGTTGGACCAGTCTGTTTCAGAGATGTTCTCTCTGTAATGGCACAAGATGAGCTAAAACCAGCTTGAGAACTGAGTGGAGACCCACCGAAGGGCAGGCTATTTCAGCTGCTGCCTGTTCTCAGTATTCACTTGCGCCCTGTTTTTTGCTCTCCATAGATTGGTTTTTCAGCAAAGTGGCAACACATCTGGTAGGGGGTCATTGCTGACAATGTGTGCAATGCTAAGCTGATATATATGTGTGACATGCTAGGTTTAGATAAACTAAAAACAAACCGCGACCACTCATGAGGAGCCACTAGATTCTAGGGCACTTATACAGTATTGCTGCTAGCATAATGTAAACAAAAATAATTTGCTTAATACACCATAGTCTGCTTTCACTGGTGCCGTGTGGGCATATAACTTAAGGCCGGACTGTTGTATGCATGGTAAGGCAAGTCCTGTGTCACTCGACCCCCGGTGTAGAGAAGCGCATGGGGCCTTAAGGTAGCGTAAAGGGAGCAAGGAGGAAGGATGGTATGCAGTCCAGCATCCTCAAACCACAGACTTAGGAAATCCATAGGGCCCAGTCCTAACCTTTAAGGGGATAGCAGGAGACTTTGGTGGTGATGGTCTTCCTCTTCTGTGGACGATACTTCGGTGCACAAACCCGTTGGGGGTTACTATTGGCAATAGATGCTTGCGGGGTTGCTGTGCCTGGAGTAGGTCCTTTCCATGCTCTTTTTGTTTATCCTCTGGGGACACGTGTAGAGTTGCGGTGAGTTTCGCAGCCTGCCCAGAAGTGCGCAAAGATCTCCTCCAGCCTCTGGATAGAGCCCACAGTTGATCCATGCAGGGTCAGTTTCGGGTCATGCCTATGGTGTGAGGATGCATCCGCCATCTTGGCTGATTTCACACAGCAGGGATTATGAGCAGCACGGAGAGTAAGTATGCTGATCCAGTGGAGACCGGGATGACATGCTGGTCCGGGAGTGGTGGGGGGAAACAGGGCTACAGGAGGTCTCTGTACCGAGGCTCTGCTACAAGGAGCAGGAGAGTGGCTGCCTCTTCCACCCAATGGCCTCACTTGGTGCTTCCGGAATTAATAACAGCCGCTAATAGCAGGAGGTAGGTAAGTCCCAATGTAAACTGGATGAGCGTGCCCTCAGAGTGTATTATGTGAGCTTGCAGAGGAGCACTGACAAAATGCATCTGGTGTTTCAGGCCAGTAAAATCTTGTTATGCTTTTTTTGGGGCGTTAGAATAATGTCCAACGTACAAATAAAATAAGGGGTGGAAACCCTCTGATTGTTCTTAGATTACAAGGGGAAGTAAAGTTGGGGATGTCAGTCTGGCTCTGACTTTTTCAGTGCTGCAGTTACATAAAAGGTAAGGAAAGTTTTACTCAATGCACATGTTCATTACAGAAACAATACAAAAACTAATTATCGACAAGGCATGCATGCTCTGTGACCACTGTTGTTGCATCTGCAACACATTCATCTATGCACACAGTACAGCCATCTGCCACTGGTGGTTACTGTGTCAGTGACATGCATGCTGTGACACAGCAAACAAAAATAATGTGGGCATTACTCGGTCAATGAGATTATTCCTGCAGGTAAAAACCTAACAAAGGTTAGCTTGTACTGTGGATGTACTGGATGTACTGTGAATGTAACATTTAAAAGTGCATCTCAAATATTGCCCAACCAACACATAATTGAGCATCCATTTCACCATCCCACATGTCCGGTATGATGGGCTTTCTCTCCAAGAAGTATCTTTTAGCAGCTGGACTCATAACGGGGTAATTTACTGAAGTGAAAATTCAAAAGCCTATTCAAAGTGAATTTCAAATTCGAGGCCAGACTAGCCAAACTAAAAGCATTGGCTGACTTAGTGTTTCCAATTTGATTATTTTGACCTCACATTTGAAACTTACTTTGAATTCACGTAGAATTCTCACTTCAGTGAATAACGACAAACTTGACACACAGACGGAGGTTGAAGACTGTTTGTGAGACCCATTTTTATGTGGTGCATTTCTAAATCCATTACAAAGCACTAACCTTAGCTAACTATTGTCATGCTCTCACTATGCACACAATTCCAGTTCATGTCATGCCAAGTAGTGATGTCACGAACCCGAAATTTCGGTTCGCAAACGCGAACTTCCGCAAATGTTCGCGAACCGCCATAGACTTCAATGGGCAGGCGAATTTTAAAACACACAGGGACTCTTTCTGGCCACAATAGTGATGGAAAAGTTGTTTCAAGGGGACTAACACCTGGACTGTGGCATGCCGGAGGGGGATCCATGACAAAACTCCCATGGAAAATTACACAGTTGATGCAGAGTCTGGTTTTAATCCATAAAGGGCAGAAATCACCTAACATTCCTAAATCACAATGAATATGGATTGACACCTGACATATGACATATTGACACCTTGACATATGGATTGACACCTGTCCTCAGAGCCCCTGATGCATACGGACACAGAGCAGAATAGGGACTGTTCCCCCTACATAGGGTCAATGGCAGATATGGATTGACACCTATCCTAAGGATCCCTGATACACCCTGACAAAGAGCAGAATAGAGACGGTTCCCCCTACATAGGGTCACTTGGCAGATATGGATTGACACCTGTCCTCAGAGACCATGATACACACTGACACAGAGCAGAATAGAGACTGTTCCCCCTACATAGGGTCACTTGGCAGATATGGATTGACACCTGTCCTCAGAGACCATGATACACACCGACACAGAGCAGAATAGAGACTGTTCCCCCTACATAGGGTCACTTGGCAGATATGGATTGACACCTGTCCTCAGAGATCCCTGATACACACTGACACAGAGCAGAATAGAGACTGTTCCTCTACATAGGGTCACTTGGCAGATATGGATTGACACCTGTCCTCAGAGATCATGATACACACTGACACAGAGCAGAATAGAGACTGTTCCCCTACATAGGGTCCCTTGGCAGATATGGATTGACACCTGTCCTCAGAGACCATGATACACACTGACACAGAGCAGAATAGAGACTGTTCCCCCTACATAGGGTCACTTGGCAGATATGGATTGACACCTGTCCTAAGGATCCCTGATAAACACTGACACAGAGCAGAATGGGGACTGTTCCCCCTACATAGGGTCACTTGGCAGATATGGATTGACACCTGTCCTCAGAGACCACACTGACACAGAGCAGAATAGAGACTGTTCCCCCTACATAGGGTCACTTGGCAGATATGGATTGACACCTGTCCTCAAAGCCCCTGATACACACTATTCTGGGTTGTCTAAAGTCAATTATGTGCATAAATTGCTTTACGGCGTGGTGCAATAAAGATATGGTTCGTTTGGATCATTGAACAAAATAACATACAAAGTTTAGGCCTCAAGCCTTAATCAGGGTCTCCTATTTTGTAATCCAACCGGTCACACACCCTTAAGGCTAGGCCTTGGCAAGGAGCCTATATCGTTACGGAATGTCCCTTTAAATTTTGCAAGTCCATTGTCAACTCACCAGAACTTGTTGCTTAGGAATAGATCCCAGGGGTAAATTGCGCAAGTACTATAATCACTCAGCATGACACATGGCTATCATTTATTAGATATTATGATTGCAAATGTGTACAGACAGCTCGCATCCCTTAGGCTGGAGAAACAAGGTTTTAGAAAGGCAGAAAACAAATTAGCAGATACCCCGTTGAAT